TCAGATACAGAACAACAATCCAAATCGAAAAGTCCTGAACCATTTTTTGATCTGAGCTTTCTTTTCGTTGTTATGTGATGTTAAAGTTAGCTAATCAGCGCCTGTCTATACAGCAGAAAGCCGTCTCGCTACTCCGACCCCCGTCGTACCTTCTCTGTTTTCCGTTGTAGACAGGCGCTGATTAGTTAACTTTAACATCATATAACAACGAAAAGAAAGCTCAGATCAAAAAATGGTTCAGGACTTTTCGATTTGGATTGTTGTTCTGTATCTGATAGTATTGTCCATATGCGTTTGTTTAGTTACACCCAGTATATATATATGTATACTGTGAGTTAATAAATTCGCTCTCTCAGTGTTTTTCGCAACATTTCTAACAAATATAGAATCGTGACCGATCGCGTGCTCAGCATTTGGCGATACAGCAAACGCTGTATATATATATTTCATATGCGTTTACGAAAGCAAATATATCTGGCTTTGTCCGCGATAATATTTGCAATGTGAATAATTTGATAATAAAATTGTTTCTAAAGATAAGCTATTCTTGTAATCGTCCGAGTTATAATAATAAAACATTTTACCATATATCTGTATAAACTCCTAACAATAAGAGAAATAAAAACATCAACCGATTTAAAAAGATAAATCACTCATCATCTCGTTAAAAAAATATTAATCTGCTGAACTAATCATGGATAATTATCTGTTTCAGGTGGACATAGGGAGTTCCACAGGCGGCATCGAGAACTATGCGAAGACACGCTTCTGCCGAACGGCACCGCCATCGATACCTCGACAACTACGACGGTGAGCGGTTGCACGAGTCCCGGACCGGGTTGTCCCGTGCTAAGCGTCTCCGGTCCACCCACCCCGCAGCCAGCCGACATCGACAACCACCCGGCATCCCGCGTGTTACCGTTCCTTTATCTCGGTAACGGTCGAGACGCCGCCGATCTGCAGCTACTGCGCGCCCTCGGAGCTACCCGAGTGCTAAACGTCACCTCACAATTGCCCGGCTACCACGAGGAACGGGGTATCACATACAGGCAGATACCCGCCTCGGACTCTGGTCATCAGAACCTGAAGCAATACTTTGAGGAGGCGTTCGATTTTATCGGTGAGTATGGTGAGATTTGTTTTACTTATTAATAATTATTTGAACAAATCGTTTCCGTTTTTTTGAGGATTCGGGATTAGTTTCGAATACAAAACTATCGATAAAGATTCTTTTTACTGACTGCAGAAAATATTTTTTTATTCGAAAAATAATTCTCTGTTCAAGATTCATGTAAAGAATGTTATCGGAAAAATTGCCTCGTGTATATAATTGTGTAATAATATAATAACTCAGAAAGTATATCGACGCCGATCTCAGAGATCGTCAGTGGATCCACGTGATCGTTGATTAAGCGTGATTTTCCACGATTACGTCGGTAGTAGATTTCCTGCTGTTCTTCTTCCGGTGTTCATTCCGTTATTTCGCTACAAGTAGTAACGGGCCCGCAAACGGAAACAGGGTGTAACCAGGCGTTTCCGGTGGACCATTGAACCAGAGCGCCCGAGCGCCAGAAGACCAGAAGAACCTTTCATTCATGAAAGCATGAGTCATGCGCGCGCATCCGTGAAACGTAAGAGACCCACCTCTCCCTTTACCCCTTGACCCTGCGCACTCCCTCCTTCTTTATCCTTGACGTCGATTTCTCCTCCGCGCATTTATGCGTGTGCGCATCTGTGATGAAACGGGTGAGGGAAGGGGGGAAGGAAGGACTTATGCGTAGAAGGGAAGCAGTCGTGCGTGGCGATTGTAAGGGCTGGTAAGGGCTCGAAAAGGTAGATGCGAAAGAACAAGGGAGAAAGGAAGATTGGTTTCCCTCCGAGCGTGCAACTGGTGGAATGCCGGTTGAATAAACGGACTCTGCACCCTTGTCGTGGCATCCGATCTTGGCGAAGGTTTATTCCTGACAAATTCTTTCCCTCACGTATTGTGATTCATTTAATTTTGAATTCAAGAATGCCTAAATCTTTTGTAAGACATATAATTATTTTTTTTTTTTTTTATTGTTCGGAGCTTGTAATTTTTTGTATATAGTTGAATTGCACTTCTGAATTATCTTTGATAATGTATTACCATAATTATTTTCCATTTTATAGAATAAATTTGCATATCTTTTAAGCATTCATTTTCCATTAAAATCTTTTTTTATATTACAAATAAAATAAAACAAATGATATTTTGTCTTATAAATATCATAAATAATCAAATAGCTGAAAATCATTTATTAATCCGTATTAACGCCGTTGCCAAGTGGTAACCACATTTAAAAAAAATCAATTAGATAAAAATATTCATAAATATTTACATACTTTTCCCGTATTATGTGCATTCTCAGTAAAAAACATGTATGTGAAATATTTTTTGATTATAATTGATTTTAGGAATTCAGATTATTATATAAGAGCTAATATAATTTTTAAACGTACGATTGGAATGATCTTTAATGAAAAAAAAAAAAAAAAAAAAAATCGAACGATTTATCGCGCGTAGTCGAATTCTTTCGTAATGCGACGTCAGCATAGTCTGCATAGGATCCGGGCGATGCAGTGACTCACTGGCGATACGATAGCGTCCCCCATATATTGCATAATCGAGTCGACTGTTCGAGTTTCACGACTGCTTCGTTTCAGCGTTTACGAGCTCGACTCATTTCTATTTTTCATAAGCACGCGTTGTAGTTGATTTCGCATCTTGAAAACTATTTTTAAATTTTAAAGAATTTCGAATAAAACATAAACGAATAGCATATTTTTAACATTGCAATAGCGATCTATAATCTATAAATCAGAATGTTTTTAATCACAATATGATTTGTTCGAATAATTATTTATTAACTTTATTTATTAATAATTATTTCGCTTCTTATTATTTATTAACTTAAAAAAGTAAATTGGAATGGAGTATCATCATGATTATTGAAAAATCGCTTTAATTATTGTAAACTTTTTTCGAATATTGTCAAATAATTTCTTTTATTGTTTTTGTCCCATGGAATTCCTATGTCTTTGCGCGAAATTCTATTTGAGAGACATTGATCTATGCGATAACCAACATAATAAGAAATACATTATCGAATACATTGATCATCGTGCAATTGGTCTTGGTGTTTCAGAGGAAGCGCGGAAAGCCGGAAGTAGCGTGTTGGTACACTGTCAAGCCGGCGTGTCGCGCAGCGCGACGATTGCAATCGCCTACATAATGCGGCACAAGGGCCTGTCGATGGTGGAGGCGTACAAGCTGGTGAAGAACGCGCGTCCGATTATCAGTCCAAACCTGAATTTCATGGGTCAGCTGTTGGAACTTGAACAGGGTCTGCGGGCGTCCGGCGACGTCGTCAATTCTGCGCCAGAAGACCCCGCGACAACGACGACGGCGACGGCGACAACGACGACAACGACGAGTAGCTGTCATCAGTGCAGGTGGAGTCATCAGCCTAATAATGAAGAGGTGGTCACATCCGGTTGTAGCGTTTGAGACCGGGACCTTCTCTCGTATCTTCTTTTCTTTCGATCCTTTTCGAGAATATCGATCGAATCGTCGACGCTAACATCGGAGCGTCGCAAACGCGCGGTACACATATCCCGAGATATCATCGAGAGCGAATGTCGACGTTCTTCCTGTGCCTCTTCGTGACAAACCCAGATGATTAATAGTTCCCGGGATTGGATGGTCAATCGTTTAAAGATACCAATCGCGACTATAAAAAGGATTGTGCGACAATGAAGCCTTCGATCGTTTTTGAAATTATGGAGATTTTGGTTTTTCAATCTTCGCATTTTTCAATATTTGAATTATCGTATTTTTTATCCAAGGCTTTTTGGCCTAGAAAATATTCGCCCTTCGAATCTTTAGTTTTTAGAATGAAGATATTCTTAGATTCCGTGCCTTCGGAACGATCATCCAGTTAAAAGGTAAGCTGCCAATCTGACAGATCAACTTATTAAGAGACTTGAAGGAAATGTATGAAGAAGGTATGTCACACTCTTATGACAAATAATTTATTTCTGTAAATAGATGCGCATTATTCTCCATGTATTGAAATACCACATCCCGTATCACATATTAAAATTAGTCCATACACTCCATATGCGACAATAAATCACTTTGACATGAGTCGAGCAGCTTTAGCTGGATAAGCTTGTTACGAATGTGACATACCTTCTCTTCACGCTTGTATCTAAGGAATATTATAGAAAGGGATTTTCTACTTCGGAGAGGCGCAAAATGGCAAGGAGCGTATTCTGTATCAGAGGAATCTGAGCACGCTCTCTTTTAACTTCGATAACGAACAGCAACGCGTCGCGATTATTTATTTTCAGATAATGTTTAATCGCGGTAAAAATTACTTGTACTTACGATATACAGTGTTCCCTAATACGCCTGGTCGAGTCAATAGAGAGGCAAGCAAAACATGCGGAGTGCTCGTTAACGAGCTTCTCGTTAAATAAGCGGTCAAGTGTTGTCGTCCGGCATTGTTTATGCAAGAGGAAGCGAGGGAGGAGGATACGATGTTGACGGAAGTGACTGTTTAAATGACTAATTAGGCAGCTTGCAATGTCGAGGAAAACTCGGGACTAAATGTTAACAAATAAATGTTACTTTTAAAAAGACTAAGGAATAATATTGATCATTAGGTCCATGATTATTGTATCAATTGAAATATAATTTAACGTTAAACACAATACATTTTGGTATGAGTTAGTATAAAAAAACAGCAATATATAATATAATGTATTTTTTATCCGTACATTGGTTTTGCGACATCCTGCTTAAAACAGTTTAAAGATACAAGATACATTAACTCGTATAAAACGTAAGTTTAAATCAATGTAACACGAAGTCACAAGAAGTAAATGAATCAAGATTTATTAAATCCTATATTCGTTAATTTTTCTAGCAAACATAATGCGATATCAACTTACAATAGGTAAAAATCGCACGCTTGCCTCTCAATTGACTTTCTTCATATCAGCCATGAACTTTCACTAGAAAAATTATTCTTAGCGTGGAGAAGATAATGTCTAATCAACATGTACGGGGTGTCACGAGAAAAAGATGAGATTCTAGTTTTTAGATTAATAAAGTTACTTTTGCAACGATGGTGTGTCATCTTAAATATTTTTCATTTTAATTACTGTTTTTGTGCTATACAATTTTTTTTTTTTTTTAAGTTAATGTGGGAATAGTAACAATAAAGACAACTTAATTAATTTTCAATGTTAACTGTGGAATAGGTAAATATTAAACGTGATGGTACGATTGCATTTTCGTAGAAATTTAATTTACCAATATTTCGACGTAAAACCGATATTACGTATTCTTATAATATTATAATTATTTTAGTTCACGTTTTATTTCAAATATAGACAAATAAATAATTAATTATTTCATGTTATTTTCAAAATATTGTCTTTGGAATTAAATATATTTAATAAACAATGAAATATATTATATAAATAAAGAAGAAAAATTTTCTTTGAAGATGTAATTCTCTATTACTGCTACAACATCGTCCATAAATATTTGCTTACATTATATTGCAATAATATAATAGCAGTCTTGCAAATCGCAGTACAATATTGCAAAGATATTTTAGAGACATATGAAATTGCAAAATCTTAACAAGATTGCAGCAACATTATGCGATGTAACTGCAATATTTATACAATCATTGAATGTAGCAATTTTTTTAATACTGGATGGATTTTTTTTGTATTTCTCAAAGACATGATGATAAGGATTTCAAATAGAAAATGAGACCCAATAAATAAACACAATTAATTAAAAAGAAAAATCATCCTCCACCCAACCCCCCTCTAAAATCCTGAAATAATATTATCCAGAATATAAAGGAAGTTGCTATTCTGTGAATAAACGGGTACTTATATGAGCGATATAGTATGTATATTTTTCTCGAGGCACCCTTACATCAAGATCAAGTAAAACGGAATGTTAATTTAATGGCGAGTCTCTATGGAAGGAAAAAACTGTTCATTAAATAAAATAAAAATGATTGTTAATAATTTAAGTTAATATATCAAGGCAAATGAAAAAGTGATAGTGAGAGAAAAAGAAAGAAAGAGAGCGCGTAAATGACGAGAAAGAAAACAAAGATATAATAAAATGGATCGATTGAGACCATTAATCGAGAGCGGAAATTCGCCTGTTTTGCGTCTATATTTCGATTGCAACACGGTTAATATTTGATAAAAAAATATATAATAATATATCGTTCACTGAAAATAGCTTAGTTCGTTAAGCTCCCTTAGCATTTAAGGATCTGGTTGAGATCCAACCATCGTGATCTAGTCGTTTGTTGGGATGATGATACGTACGATGTAAATGAAACGAGATATGAAGATGCTCTGTAATCTACAGAACAGTGTAATGGTCAGAAATGTAAAACCATATAATTATTAGATAAGATACAAAGAGATGATGGAAGAAAAAAAAAATGGCGCGCTGAACTTTCCGACTTATTCCTAAAAAGGAATAGTGAATTTCAAGGAAATAAATTTACTGTGCCATGTAACAGCACAATCTCGCGGTTCGAGCAATGAAAAAAAATCATAACGTCGCAAAGGCGCCTTGTTAACGACTTAATTATATTACCGACAATAACTTTTCGTGGAGAAGCTACCGTGAATCGCGAGAGGAGAGTTGCGAACGACGGGGAATAGAGGGAGAAAGAACCAAGTTCCTTATAGAATTTTCGTCGAAGAATCGTCTACGAATTCTCGATTAATTAAACAATTTTCAAAGAACGGTACATATCAGTGAAGCGTTGCCTTGCGATAAACGACGAGAGAACTGATAAATAGTCGTAGAGGCGTACGATATAGACAATTAAACGATTTAAACAATTAGTTACCTTGCCAGCGATCGGGAGTGGAGAAAAAAAAAATGGGAGCGGGTTGATAGAAATGTAGAGTACCTGTTGCATCACACAAAATTTGTACGTATTTTATCGAGACATTGGCAATAGCTAATACAACGACTTGCGATAAATCATGGCATTTTTCATTAATCAAACGATAATCTAAACGGCCAGAATTAACCAGCCAGTTTACTTTTAAATTTTTGAAATATGCTTTATTCTTTGTGCGACTTGTAGTGAAGAATAAAAATCGGATTTTTAATGAAAGAAAAATAATCCCATTGCGCGATACATTTTCGCTTAACTTATTCCATTATCTGTTTAGGAAGCTTAAACAATATAATTTTTTTGAGTCGCGAGTTCTTCATGTCGATTCGATTCAACTTCCAGTGTATGTTCTACACATCCAATTTCATATTACATATATCTTAATTTATATTATTTTATTAAAAATTAATTTTTTTCAATACAATTGACATTTTTTAATATTAATTGTTAATTGAAGTTGTATATAGTCTTTTCCAAACAATTTTTACTCTTACTCTTAAAAATTGCAGTTTATTCTTGAAAATTATCATTTAATATCAGTCCCAAAAATAGTCTTTTACGATTAGATAATAATACGCTCGCATGTGTAAGAAATCAAATTGGCTATTATTTATTGCACGTCGTCGTATCTTTTTATTGTTAACGTGTGTGCGTGCGTGCGAAGGGTATCGCTTGCCCTTTCGAGATGTCTCTTTGCGCTTTTTAGAGATATCTTCTTACGAATTAATTAATCGATATATCTTTCTTTAAACACGACATAAAATATTTTAACAAAGTTTTATACAACGTTTTGGAAAATTACACGTCGTAAAACTTTACGAATCGAATTTCCGCGGCTTTATCAGCGGAATAAGTTGCGACAATGAGACAAATCTTGGCAGAATCAAAGCGTACATTTCGAAAAAATAAGAGCAAAGGGCAAACATATGAAAAAGCCAGGAAGGATTTTGGAGGAGACAAAGAGACCCCAAATGTATGATCGGATCCCAACGATTTGTAATGTACAGCTACGTAGCGATTAGGAAATATTAGCGTAAAGATGTAACTATATTGCGTATGTGCGTGCAAGTATTGTATTATATTAAAAAAATTTATTTAGTTATTTTATGAATAAAAATGCAAACACACTTTGTCGGTTTACCTTGGGAGCTGTTTCAGCCTCATATTTTCGCGCGTATGTCACATAGCCTGAACTTTATTCTATACCAAATTAAAAGGGATTGTTGTAAAACAGCTTTGAACACTTTTAACATTATGCTAATTTTTTCGAAATATGCAAGTAATTATTTTCAAAGAACACATTGCATATCATTTCAGATTAAAGTAATAATTAAAATGATATAGAAGGACAAATAAGCAGGACAATTAAGATATAAAATAAGAGTATAAAATGTAAAAGATTTTTCGTTTAATCCTTATGTATGTGATTATAAAACATATTTATCTTTAACAAGGAGAACAAGGGGTAAAGTACGATATACAAATCATCAGATAGCTTGGCAATAAAAGTTTTTCTTCAAACAATTTTACATATTCTCGTTATATCGTTCCGCGTATTACATAGACACTTGCCGCAGAAGTCTCCTAATTAAATGCATTAATTGATTACTACAGAATTATTTGCGTGTCTATATATACATAGAATTTTGTACGGATCACGTATAATAATAATAATAATAATAATATTAATACCGTGTAATGTGTGTATGTGCGTGTATGATAAAATGCGCGAAGAAAAACGAGCAGAAAGCGCTATTATTATTTAATGTTGTTGTTAAAATAGAGTATCTCTTTGCAGAGCATGCAGTAACTAAAA